ACCATTCACCAGGAGAGTTACCTTAAGCTCGCCGTCGCATGTAGTTTCTGACGAGCCCAGGTGACTTAGGAGATAATATATGCGATATGAGGGTATAGAGAGCTAAAATTGATCAGAACAACTAAGAAAATCTACTCAAACTTATTCGTCACATGTAGAATCTAATTTCTAATATCTTGCAGCTTACTAGAAGTATTGGCCACATTACTACTACCAACAATCAAAATTACTAAGCAGATCTTCGAGTAAAAAATGCATCAGCTTGATAAAAAAATGTTCGTCAGCAGGATGAATTACTAATGCATTAATCTGCTATCTTTACATTCTATGACAATAATTGCACGAAGAACAGACAATAGAGGCATAATTTCTCATTACCAGCTATCGGAGTCATTTTAGCGTTAGTAGCTAATCTGTTCATGCTAATTAGGACTTCACTGTACACTATGGCTCAAAAAATGCACTCAAACTTAGTAGACTAACATTTTGAGATTTGGAGCAGGGCCTTATTAATCAGGAAAAAAGTGATTTGTAGACTCACCTAGCAATCTCTTCTGATTGATTCGGATTTGGTTTCGGCCAGTGAGTAGCGTAGTCCAGTCGAAAGTCTGTAGTCTCAGCAGTGCAACGCCAATAGGTGCAGAGACTTATCGGAGGAACGAGAGCCGTTGCATTGAAGATCTGCTGCGGCAGGGCAGAGTCGCGCACTAGTCCGCCTGGCAGACTGGGTCCTGTGCCCAAATAGACTGAATAGGTGAACATGGTTAGCGTGAGGTAGGCTGAAGGGAGAGCTTGAGTCGTGCGCTCGGCAACGATCTCAGCGAATCGCTGTTGTAAACATTCGCCGGGGATAGAGAGCTCATATTCACGAGTAACGTTGGAGGTCGTGATTGGCCTAGATTTTGGAAAGTAGCGGAATATTAGAGCACACGCATATTATGGCGGAGGATTTATTTGGTCGTTTAGTAGTAACATGAAAATTAATCGAAACTTCCATTAAGATCAAGAGATAGAACACGGTATTATGATACTTGGGCTTCACTGAGACTTTAGTGCAAGCAGTTATATACAAAAACACGATTCATATGAACGCTTTATATACGAAGAAAAGTTGGGTTTCGAGGAATCTCTTGTTTCAAAATTGTTGGGATTACTTCCC